TTTTTTTTTTTTTTTTTGGCTGTGTTGGGTCTTTGTTGCTGCACGCAGGCTTTCTCTAGTTGCTGCGAGTGGGGGCTACTCTTTTTTTTTTTTAACGTCTTGATTGCAGTATAATTGCTTTACAACGGTGTGCTAGTTTCTGCATTATAACAAAGTGAAACGGCTCTACGCATACATATATCCCCATATCTCCTCCCTCTTGCGTCTCCCTCCCTCCCACCCTCCCTATCCCACCCCTCTAGGTGGTCACAAAGCACCGAGCTGATCTCCCTGTGCCGTGCGGCTGCTTCCCACTAGCTATCTATTTTACGTTTGGTAGTGTATGTATGTCCATGCCACTCTCTCACTCTGTCCCAGCTTACCCTTCCCCACCCACGTCCTCGAGTCCATTCTCTATGTCTGCATCTTTATTCCTGTCCTGCCCGTAGGTTCATCAGTACCTTTTGTTCTTTAGATTCCATATATATGTGTTAGCATACGGTATTGGTGTTTCTCTTTCTGACTTTAACGCATACGGTATTGGTGTTTCTCTTTCTGACTTCACTCTGTATGAGACTCTAGGTCCATCCACCTCACTACAAATAACTCAATTTCATTTCTTTTTATGGCTGAGTAATATTCCATTGTATGTATGTGCCACATCTTATTTATCCATTCCTGTGTCAATGGACACTTAGGTTGCTTCCATGTCTTGGCTGTTGTAAACAGTGCTGCAGTGAACATTGGGGTGCATGTGTACCCCAATGGAATTTTGATTTTCTCTGGGTATATGCCCAGTAGTGGGATTGCTGGGTCATATGGTAGTTCTATTTTTAGTTTTTTAAGGAACCTCCTCCATACTGTTCTCCATAGTGACTGTATCAATTTACATTCCCAACAACAATGCAAGAGGTTTCCCTTTTAACCACACCCTCTCCAGCATTTATCGTTTGTAGATTTTTTGATGATGGCCATTCTGACTGGTGTGAGGTGATACCTCATTGTAGTTTTGATTTGCATTTCTCTAATGATTAGCGATGTTGAGCATCCTTTCATATGGTTGTTGCCAGTCTGTATATCTTCTTCGGAGAAATGTCTATTTAGGTCTTCTGCCCAATTTTGGACTGGGTTGTTTGTTTTTTTTGATATTGAGCTGCATGAGCTGCTTGTATATTTTGGAGATTAATCCTTTGTCAGTTTCTTCGTTTGCAAATATTTTCTCCCATTCTGAGGGTTGTCTTTTCATCTTGTTTATGTCTTCCTTTGCTGTGCAAAAGTTTTAAGTTTCATTAGGTCCCATGTGTTTATTTTTGTTTTTAATTTCCAATTCTCTAGGAGGAGGGTCAAAAAGGATCTTGCTATGATTCATGTCATAGAGTGTTCTGCCTATGTTTTCCTCTGAGAGTTTATATTACAGTGTCTGCCCTTACATTTAGGTCTTTAATCCATTTTGAGTTTATTTTTTTATATGGTGTTAGGGAATGTTCTAATTTCATTCTTTTACATGGAGCTGTCCAGTTTTCCCAGCACTACTTATTGAAGAGGCTGTCTTTTCTCCATTGTATTTTCTTGCCTCCTTTATCAAAGACAAGGTGACCATATGTGCATGGGTTTATCTCTGGGCTTTCTATCCTCTTCCATTGATCTATATTTCTATTTTTGTGCCAGTACCATATTATCTTGATTACCGTAGCTTTGTAGTATAGTCTGAAGTCTGAGAGCCTGAGTCCTCCAGCTCTGTTTTTCTTTCTCAAGATTGCTTTGGCTATTCGGGGTCCTCTGTGTTTCCATACAAATTATGAAATTTTTTGTTCCAGTTCTGTGGAAAATGCTGTTGGTAGTTTGATAGGGATTGCATTGAATCTGTAGATTGCTTTGGGTAGTATAGTCATTTTCACAATGTTGATTCTTCCAATCCAAGAACATGATATATCTCTCCATCTGTTTGTATCGTCTTTAATTTCTTTCACCAGTATCTTAATAGTTTTTTGCATACAGGTCTTTTGTCTCCTTAGGTAGGTTTATTCCTAGGTATTTTATTCTTTTTGTTGCAGTGGTAAATGGGAGTGTTTCCTTAATTTCTCTTTCAGATTTTTCATCATTAGTGTATAGGACTGCAAGAAATTTCTGTGCATTAATTTTGTATCCCGCTACTTTACCAAATTCATTGATTAGCTCTAGTAGTTTTCTGGTAGCATCTTTGGGATTCTCTATGTAGAGTATCATGTCATCTGCAAACAGTGACAGCTTTACTTCTTCTTTTCCAATTTGGATTCCTTTTATTTCCTTTTCTTCTCTGATTGCTGTGGCTATAACTTCCAAAACTATGTTGAATAAGAGTGGTGAGAGTGGGCAACCTTGTCTTCTTCCTGATCTTAGTGGAAATGGTTTCAGTTTTTCACCATTGAGGACAATGTTGGCTGTGGGTTTGTCATATATGGCCTTTATTATGTTGAGGAAAGTTCCCTCTGTGCCTACTTTCTGCATGGTTTTTATCATAAATGGGTGTTGAATTTTGTCGAAAGCTTTCTCTGCGTCTATTGAGATGATCATATGGTTTTTCTCCTTCAGTATGTTAATATGATGTATCACGTTGATTGATTTGTGTATATTGAAGAATCCTTGCGTTCCTGTGATAAACCCCACTTGATCATGGTGTATGATCCTTTTAATGTGTTGTTGGATTCTGTTTGCTAGTATTTTGTTGAGGATTTTTGCATCTATGTCCATTAGTGATATTGGCCTGTAGCTTTCTTTCTTTGTGGCATCCTTGTCTGGTTTTGGTATCAAGGTGATGGTGGCCTCGTAGAATGAGTTTGGGAGTGCTCCTCCCTCTGCTATATTTTGGAAGAGTTTGAGAAGGATAGGTGTTAGCTCTTCTCTAAATGTTTGATAGAATTCTGTGAAGCCATCTGGTCCTGGGCTTTTGTTTGCTGGCAGATTTTTAATCACAGTTTCAATTTCAGTGCTTGTGATTGGTCTGTTTATATTTTCTATTTCTTCCTGATTCAGTCTTGGAAGGTTATGCTTTTCTAAGAATTTGTCGATTTCTTCCAGGTTGTCCACTTTATTGGCATATAGTTGCTGGTAGTAATCTCTCATGATCCTTCGTATTTCTGCAGTGTCAGTTGTTACTTCTTTTTCATTTCTAGTTCTGTTAATTTGAGTCTTCTCCCTTTTCTTCTAGATGAGTCAGGCTAATGGTTTATTGATTTTGTTTATCTTCTCAGAGAACCAGCATTTAGTTTTATTGATCTTTACTATTGTTTCCTTCATTTATTTCTTTTTTTTTTAATAAACTTATTTTGTTTATTTATTTTTGGCTGCATTGGGTCGTTGTGGTGCTCAGGCTTCTCACTGCAATGGCTTCTCTTGTTGCAGAGCACGGGCTTTAGGCATGCAGGGTTCAGTGGTTGCATCACACAGGCTCAGTAGTTGTGGCTCATGGGGTCTAGAGCGCAGGCTCAGTAGCTGTGGCACGCAGGCTTAGTTGTTCTGCGGCATGTGGGATCTTCCTGGACCAGGGATCAAACCCGTGTCCCCTGCATTGGCAGGCGGATTCTCAACCTCTGCACCACCAGGGAAGCCCTTTTTCATTTATTTCTGATCTGATCTTTATGATTTCTTTCCTTCTGCTAACTCTGGGGGGGTGTTTGTTCTTCTTTCTCTAATTGCTTTAGGTTTAAGTTTAGGTTGTTTATTTGAGATTTTTCTTGTTTCTTGAGGTAGGCTTGTATTGCTATAAACTTCCCTCTTAGAACTGCTTTTGCTGCATCCCATAGGTTTTGGGTCATCGTGTTTTCATTGTCAGTTGTTTCCAGGTATTTTTTGATTTCCACTTTGATTTCTTCAGTGATATCTTGGTTATTTAGTAGCATATTGTTTAGCCTCTATGTGTTTGTATATTTTTACATGCTTTTTCTATAATTGACATCTAGTCTCATAGCGTAGCAGTCGGAAAAGATACCTGACACAACTTCAATTTTCTTAAATTTACCAAGGCTTGATTTGTGACCCAAGATATGATCTATCCTGGAGAATGTTCCACGAGCACTTGAGAAGAAAGTGTATTGTTTTTTTGGATGGAATGTCCTATAAATATCAATTAAGTCAGTCTTGTCTAATGTGTCATTTAAAGCTTGTGTTTCCTTATTTATTTTCATTATGGATGATCTATTCATTGGTGAAAGTGGGGTGTTAAAGTCCCCTACTATTATTGTGTTACTGTCAGTTTCCCCGTTTATGGCCGTTAGCATTTGCCTTACTCCTATGTGCTCCTATGCTGGGTGCATATTTACAATTGTTATATCTTCTTCTTGGATTGATCCCTTGATCATTATGTAGTGTCCTTCTTTGTCTCTTGTAATAGCCTTTGTTTTAAAGTCTATTTTGTCTGATATGAGAATTGCTATTCCAGCTTTCTTTTGATGTCCATTTGCATGGAATATCTTTTTCCATCCCCTCACTTTCAGTCTGTATGTGTCCCTAGATCTGAAGTGGGTCTCTTGTAGATAGCATATATACAGGTCTTATTCTTCTATCCATTCAGCCAGTCTATGTCTTCTGGTTGGAGCATTTAATCCATTTACATTTAAGGTAATTATCGATATGTATGTTCCTGTTACCATTTTCTTAATTGTTTTGTGTTTGTTTTTGTAGGTCTTTTCCTTCTCTTGTGTTTCCTGCCTAGAGAAGTTCCTTTAGCATTTGTTGTAAAGCTGGTTTGGTGGTGCTGAACTCTCTTAATGGGGGCTACTCTTCGTTTTGGTGCATGGGCTTCTCATTTTGGTGGCTTCTCTTGTTGCAGAGCATGGGCTCTAAGCATGCAGGCTCCAGTAGTTGCAGCACACGGGATGAGTAGTTGCAGCATGTGGGCTCTAGGGCACATGGGCTCAGTAGTTGTGGTGCACAGGCTTAGTTGCTGCATGGCATGTGGTATCTTCCTGGACCAGGTATTGAACCCATGTCCCCTGCATTGGCAGGCAGATTCTTATCCACTGCGCCACCAGGGAAGTCCTCCAGAACTCTTTTTATCTAGAAAACTGAAACTCTACCCAATTAAACATTTTCCTGTTCCCCCTTCCCTGGCCCCAGCAGCCACCATTCTTTTTTAATTTATTGGCCGCACCACGTGGCATGTGGGATCTTAGTTCCCTGCCCAGGGATTGAACCCATGGCCCCTGCACTGGAAGCATGGAGTCTTAACCCCTAGACCACCAGCGAAGTCCCCTGGCAGCCACCATTCTACTTTCTGTTTCCATGAGTTTAACCACTCTGGGTACTTCATATGCGTGGAATCAGACAGCATTTGTCTTTTTCTATCTGCTTCTTTGGCTTAGTATAATCTCCTCAAGGTCCATCCATACTGTAGCATGTGTCAGAATGCCCCTTTCAAGGCTGAGTGTTATTCCCTTGTGTGTATGTACCCCGTTTTGCTTATCCACTGATCCATGGCTGGATGAGAATCTGCACTTTCAACAAATTCACTGCAGGCAATTCTGATGACACTGAAATTGAGGACCTGTGCTCTAGTCTGACCCCATTATTTTAAAAATGGGAGGGCTTCCCTGGTGGCACAGTGGTTGGGGGTCCACCTGCCGATGCAGGGGACGCGGGTTCGTGCCCCGGTCCGGGAGGATCCCACTTGCCGTGGAGCAGCTGAGCCCGTGGACCATGGCCGCTGGGCCTGCGCGTCCAGAGCCTGTGCTCTGCGACGGGAGGGGCCGCGACGGTGAGGGGCCCGCGTACCGAAAAAAAAACGGGGCTTAGAGAAGGATCATGCCTTGCCCCAGTCACTAGCAGGGCTGGAACTAGTCTCAGTTCCCTCTCATGCCACGGTCTCTGCTAGCGGCTCTTTGGCCTAAATAACTTGATTTCTGCTCTCATCGTTCCCCATCTTCCCTCCCTCCCAGCGGGCTCTACTGCGAGCAACCCCCGCCCATGGTCCTGCTACAGACAAGCCCCTGCGACCAGTACGAGTGCCAGAACGGGGCCCAGTGCATCGTGGTGCAGCAGGAGCCCACCTGCCGTTGCCCCCCAGGCTTTGCCGGCCCAAGGTGCGAGAAGCTCATCACCGTCAACTTCGTGGGCAAGGACTCCTACGTGGAACTGGCCTCCGCCAAGGTCCGGCCCCAGGCCAACATCTCCCTGCAGGTGCGCCCCACCCACCCAGCCCTTGGAAGGACCCTAACATGCCCCCAAGCTCTGATTCACGTCATAAGGGATAACACTCAGCCTGGGGGGACCGGGACCAGCTCTGCCCAGTGGGCTCTATAGACAGCTCCTGACCAGCTCTCACTGCAAAGAGCAGCCCCCACTCCAGCCTCATTCATTCTTTTCTCTAGGAAATATTCATTCACCTATTACGTGCCAGACAGACACTGTGCACTGGAGATTCAGTGGTGGGCAAGACAGGCGAAGCCCCTTGCCCAGGGCAGGATGACAGCCCTGGGTGTTGTGGGAGCACATGGGCGGGGCACTAATACCAGCCTGCTGGGAAGAATCAGGGAAGGCTCCCCAGAGGCAATGAGAACTAAGCTGAGGTCTGAAGGATGAGTAGGAGTTTGCCTGGAGGAGGGCGGAAGTGTGAGGGGCTGATGGTGCAGGATGAAGGGGGGTGGTGCATTCGAGCCTCAGAGATCAGCATGTGCAAAGGCCCAGAGGCACACGGAGCAGGGCATTTTTCAGGGAACAGGAAACCATTCAGTATGAACCAAATTCTTTTCCAACTAACTTCTGTCGAGTTCCTTACCTATGGACCTGACTAGTTCTTCCAGACTACATTTCTCCGTGACCTCAATGCTTTTGGGGGGCACAGGGAGAAGGGAAGGGGTATGATAAAGAGCAGGCCGCTGCCTGTAGGCTCGGTGGGCAGGGGGGACCCCAGAGACACAGCTAGAGGGTGCAGGCCAGTTAGTGGCTCCTCCACATAGCATCAGCTAAGGCCCTTTCTTCCTTCTGGTTATGGCCACACTAGCCCAGGTTTAAGCTTATGGAGAAAATATTCATTCAACAAAGATCCACTGGGCATCCACCCCTGCCAGGTACCATTCGAGGCACTGGGGCTGCAGAGATGTATGAAAGTTCACACGGCCTCACCTCGTGGGGCCTACAGTCCAGCGGGCAGGCCTCTGAGATGGGGGTTGACCCCAGGCGCACACAAGAAAGAAGCTCTGGTTGCCATCACTGCCCTCGCCCCTGGTCCCCTGGTCGCCGTCCTGACTTCCTCCCTCAGTCCCAGACACCCAGGAACGCAAGTGTTACATCCCAATAACCAGAGCAGCACCCAGTGCCCCGGACAGCCCAGTGTCCTATCAGAGCCCCTGCTCGCCGTCAGCTTCATGGGCAAGGACTCCTACGTGGACCTGGCCTCCACCAAGGTCTGGCCCCAGGCCAACATCAGCTGCTCCTGGGCTAGGCAGTGGGGGCCAAGAGGCTGGTCAGAGAGCCCCACCCTGGTGCCCTGTACCTGGCAAACAGACGCCCTCTGGGCAGCAGCTTTGAGACCAGTGCTTCTCAGCCTGGCAACACTTTAGAACCTCCTGGGGCACTTCGTATCTTTGCCTGGATCTGGCCTCTGGAGATCTGTATGCAAGTGGTTTGAGGTGAAGCCCAGACACTGTGTTTTAAAAAACTCCCTAGATGACACTTAACACACTGCCTGGTTCATAGTAAACACAGAATTAAGTAGTAATGGGTAGTATTTTGTTTATAATTGTTATTATACTTTATACAGAGAGACCAAGGCCCCAAGAGGCTAGATCAGAGCTCAGGGCTCCAGGCATTTTTATATATGTGTACACACACGCGCGCACACACACACACACGTACATAAAAACATAGCAGCACATAAAGAGGACTCCATAAATATTTGTTGAATTGCTCAATCAGCCATTTGCTGGAGCATTAAGTATAGGCTTTCCTTATGGAAATGAACAGACTAGATGAAGGAGGAAATACGGACATGAATTCAGATCCAGGGCTCGTTCAGAAGAGGCCACCTGGAAGAGGGCTCTGTGAGGCGGGGACGGGAGAGGTGGGGACTCAGGGCAGCCCTGACCCTCATGACTCCCTCCAGGTGGCCACGGACAAGGACAACGGCATCCTTCTCTACAAGGGAGACAATGACCCCCTGGCACTGGAGCTGTACCAGGGCCACGTGAGGCTCGTCTACGACAGCCTGAGCTCCCTGCCGACCACGGTGTACAGGTGAGGACCAAAGTCCCGCCCCCATTGCACAAGCCCCCTCGCATCTTCGCGCCTGCTTCCAGCACTAGGAGAAGATGCCAGGACGTCTTTGGTGCCGCCTCTCCCTGCCCCCCCCACACACACACTTTCCGCTGGCACAGAGTGGCGGGTGGGAGCGAGAGAGGTGGTCTCGGAGGAAGAGGCAGGAGTGGAAGGAAGGCAGACCCCGTGGGGTGATGACACCTCATTACCATAAGATAGATGGCCAGCTGGCTACTGGGCCGGAGCCTGTGCTCCAATGGGGACGAGGCTGCTTAACGAGATGCCCTTTTCAAAACGTCATCCTAATCTTGTATTAGTTTAAGAAAGAAAACAGGGGCAGATGAGCATGGAACTCAAGGGGAAGAAATTCCAGAGCACAGAGGGAGCAGGACTCCTCAAGTGACTTTCAAACTGTTCTAAAGGACAGTTTTTCCTAAACTTCAGTCTTTCCAACCGTCACCCTGATTTTTACATTTATCAGTATGTCAGCTGGGCTGTTACCTAACACGCTACCTTACATCGGCTTTAAATCTGTTCACTTTTTAAATTTAGCTTCAGCTCGAGTAATAGCATCTGTGAAATCACAGCTCTGCTAGTTCAACATGTTAGAATTTTCTCCTACTTCTCAGTAAAATGAATTCTAAACTATTAACATTTAAAAATTATTTCAGTTATAAATATTTGTATAATACTTATAAAAGTAGCTCCTCAAGTGAGAAATGTTTGTCTGTGTTACACTTAAAATCACATAGAACCTCCCATGGAAGGAGAGCCATTACTTGGGGAAAACATAGGATGTGAGAGAGAGCCGCATCCAGAGGCCAGCCCTTCCCCTCTGGAAGCGAGAGCACATTTGATCAGGGTGAGTGAAGGGCAGCATTTTTTCCCAGTAACTAAATCCCTTCTTCAATCAAAACTTTACATGGAACTCCATCATATTAAACGCACAGAAGCAAAGCTGCCCTGCAGAGCTGGGGGGAGCAAAGTTTCCTCCTTCACACAAACTCTCACGAAGGCCCCCAATACGCCTCCAACAAACCCGGTTGAAAACCACTGGTGCAAACCAGTGGTTCTTGAGGTGAAGCCCCAGAGCAGCAGCGGCAGCAGCAGCCAGGCACTTGTTAGAAAAATGCACATCTTCAGATGTGCTCTGAAGCTCTGGGGTCGGGCCCAGCAACCAGTTTTAAGGAGCCTCTAGGTGAGTCTGAGAAGTGCTAGCTAACCCACGAAGGCTTCCTGGAGAAGGAGCCATTTGCAAGGGGTCTTGAAGAATTTGTGTGATCAGGGAGAGCAGTGGGCTGGCAGGCTGGGAGAACAGCAGCGACAAGCCTGAGGGACAATGAAAAGGCAGCGACCAGCGCAGAAGGTTCACGACAGAGGGTGGCTGGAGGGAAGACCAGCCAGGTTAGGACAGCAGGTACCATGGATGTCCCGGGAGCCTCGGAGTTCCCTGGAGCCAGGGCCTCCTAACATCTCTGTTCCTGGGGCTGCTGGTCATGGGTGAAGTGCAGGGGAGAGAGAGCCAGGGGCAGGGCCAGGGCAGCCCTACAAAAAGCCTGGGGCGTCAGACACATCTGGGCTTGGCCAAGTTACTCCACCTCTTGCCTCCGTGTTCTCCCCGGTGTGCTGTGCATGACAGCACCATGTCCCTCCAGGGGTGTTCCTGGGGGCTGAGGGTTGAGAAAGCACTTGGCAAGTTGAGCCTGTACATGGGCAGGTGAAGGACAGAAGGTGACAGCCAGACTCTGGAGCAGCTGGGCTCTGTCCAGAGCTTGGGGACCTTCCCTGCCCTTCCCACACCGATGTTAGCTGTTGGTTTGGTAGAGAGGTGCGTTGCTGGTAGGAATGTTGGAACGCTCTGCTGTTGTCTTAATCAGGGTGGGAGGAATGAATCAGGAACCCGGAGAATTGCCATCCCCAGCCCTTGTCAGGGAGTCAGGTGAGAGTTAGCAGGTGGCCCTGGGGAGACCCCTGGCCCCTTCTCTTACCCATGGGAGGAACCAAGTAAAGGATGTTCCTCCCAGGATCCTCATGCCAAGCCTGGTGACAGATATTTAGTGCCCTTCAGCCCCAAATCCTAAACGGCCCAAGTCTCTAAGAGTCTCACATTAAAAGTGGTTTTGAGGGAACTTCCCCGGTGGGCCAGTGGTTAAGATTCCGAGCTTCTGATGCAGGGGGCGGGTTTGATCCCTGATCGGGGAACTAAGATACCATGTGCCATGCAGCGCAGCCAAAAAAAAAATGGTTTTACATCCAAATACTTTTCTCTAGGCAGCCCTGCTTTTGCCCCAACACTGCACGCTTTCACTCACCTCAGAAACGTCTCTCAGGCATTGTTACTGAATCAGGGCCAGGTGCTTACCGCTCAAAAACCAATACTCGAGAGAGAGGCAAATGTTGGTAGAAAGGAAAGTGTTTTAATCAGAATGCTGGCAGTCTGGGGAGATGGTGGACTCAGTGGACTCCCCCAAAAACCACATCTGAAGATTCCTCTTGGCCGTGAAAGTTTTCAAAGGGAAAAACGGAAGCAGTCTCAGTTAATCATTGAGACGGGGGTGGGGCGGGTCACAGTCATCACCGTCTCCTACTATGTGCAGACTTGTCAACTTCTTTTGATTTTTCTTTAGATGCTATCTTGCCTACACAGTTTGTGAGATTACTGAAGGGGGAAGCTAGGGAAGAGATCTGGTCATCTGTTAATTATTTATTCATTTCTACTTCTTTGATCTATGGAAAGAACCAACAGATTAGGCAAAGTATTATGCGATCAAAAGATCTGAAAGGTGTGCTAGGGCTGGAGATGAGTAGAGCATGGGGGTGCAAGTTTAAGGTTAGTGACAAGACAAAGGGGGCCTCCTGCGAGAGTTCTTTCCTGCCAGACACTGCTTACAGCACCTCGTGTGGGTCCTGGGCTGGGTGTAGGAGCCGCAGCGTTCAGGAAAACACAATCCAGGGAGAAAGGCAGACATGTAAATAAGCAACTGTTGCCTGAGCAGGATAAAATAGGCCTCACGGGAGACGCCAGTGCGTGCTGTGGGCACAGTGAAGCAGCAGCAGATGGCTGGTTCTGCTTAGAGGACCAGGAAAGGCTCCCTGGAGGAAGAGGTGATGTTTGAGCTGAGATGTGAGCTATGGCTCATGAGCATTTCCGCAGGCTCCGGGGAAGGGGAGACTCCATCGGTAGGCAAGGAAGCCACGCCGGGGTTAACAGAGGGCACAGGCCCAGCTGACCAGCAGCTGATGGGACCAGGAGGCCATCCCAGCCTCAAAATGGGATCTCCTCTTCAGTCAGTAGTGAGCTCTGGCCTCCAAAGCCTCAGAGCCAGGGAGGCAAACCAAGGCTGGTCTATTCAGGGGAGGTGGCAGCCTGCAGACTTCTGCCCACCGTGGCCCCCAGCAGGGATGTACAGGCCTGGAGCAGCTGGGTTCCATGCCCTCCTTCCTGGGGGTGCCCAGCGGGAGTCACAGGTGGCGAGGTTCTCTTCCAGGCCCGAGGGAAATACACAAAAACCCACCCAAGCCCTACCTGCCCCAGAATGGGGACAGACTGCACTGTTCCTAACTTCCAAGATTTGTCTGAGGAGCAAACTCCCCTGCCTTCAAGGCCCAAGGGGCTGAGTGAGCTGACAGACTTGGGGGAAATGAGGCCCAATAGGGAGTGGTGGGGACTGTGGTAGCTTGGAGGGTATGGCTCTAGCAGGTGCAGCTGCGTGGGAAAGCGGATTCTCAAAAGACGTTAGAAATTCAGGGTTTCTATGTAAAATGCTTCAGGGTTTAAATGTTGGCCATTTTAAAACACCCCAGGAGACCTCTCTTTGGCAAGCAGTGCATGCTCCCTTTGTCTTAATTACCACACACCCATCCATTGCCAGGTCTTTTTCTCATCCGCAAGCCCTGGACATGCGTCATCACTCCTGTTTTAGAGATGAGAAACTTGATGCTCAGACGCATCCTTGGCACAAGAGGCCAGCAAGTGGCAGAGCTGCGATTTAGATCCAGGCCAGGCTCCCAGCAGAACCCTCTCCCCCACATACTGGGGCATGAAAGGCGGGGCCTAGAGAGGGAGTATGGCCCTGCCCAGATGGTCCAGGAGTCCGGGGTTGCTGTGGTGCCGGCTGACGTCTCAGGCTGCTGCCTGACCGGAATCCTGGGAACTCTTTGTGAGGCTCTGTCGCCACCTAGTGGTCACACCTCAGCATCCAGGTGAGCATGCCTAGTGCATCGAGGAATGACCATTCCACCCAGGGTGGTGTGGGGTCCTATGCCTTGGGAGCTCGGATTTGAGTCCTGCTTCTACCAGCCCCACTTTAAGACTTCAGACTAGACACAGTCTCTGAGCCTTAGGTCTCATTTCTAAAATGGAGAAAAAATGGTACATCCCACCTGGAGGTTGTTAGGGTTAAATGAGAGAATGCAAGTACCCAGCCTAGTTCAGCTTTCAACACATATCTCCTCCCCCGGCCCCCAACAATTGTCATTAAAAGAAGAAGAGAACTCTATGGGCCACCCTTGGCTAACATGTGTTCTCATGCCAGTCCCAGACAGGGGCCGCCCAGCCTGGCCCTGGCACCGCCAAAGCTTCCCACCTCCCACTCGATGCTGGTTCACCGAGCTTAGAGGATAACAACGAAGACTGTCAGAGCCCCTCTCTCCCCTGAAGTCCCTGAGTATCCTTCCAGGAGACTAATTCCTGGGCCTTGGAACCACAGTAGGATCATCTCTTTTAGAGTTCAGAGCACGTTGGTTTTGAGTTTGTTTTCCTTTTCCCAATTTTTTTCTCTTTTGTAGCAGCAAAGCCATTTTTCCCATCCATACTTCAAAGGCCAAGATTTAAAATAAATAAATAAATAAAGTAGAAATGGAACCATTGTGATTTGCAATGGTTCCAAACCAAACCTCCAGGGACCCCATTTGAAAACCACCAGCTTTAGGCATTATTTCCAGGAGACCCTGGTTAGGATACGCCAGGAAGAAGGTGA